CTGTAGATCCCTTCAAGGGAACCGTGAAAAGGGGAAAGGGGCATTCATAATTAGAATAGGGCTTTGGGGGGTTCTTTATTATAATGATAAGTATAATATACCCCAAACCTTATTCTAATTATTAAGGCCCCTAAACCCTAAACCCTTATTGACTTATAGTAACCCTTATGGAACCCTTTAAGGAACCCTTCAAAAGGAAGCCTCAAAGCCCTATTCTAATCCAAGGCTAACTTTGGCTTCCGGCCTCCTTTGCCCTTCTTCCCTTTCCCGCCCTCTTCGCCCTTTGATACATCGGCGAGGCGGATTCCTGCATGTCCTCCCATGCTCGCTTGAGCAGCCGCGCATGCAGCGCTTGGCGATGCGGCTCCGACATGCACATTCCCACGTAGGGAATCTGCCACTGGACGCACGTCAAGGCGAACGTCTCGAGGACGCAAAAGGCGTCGCACACCACATTGACATCATAATCATGTAGCAAAGTCGCATAGAACTTGGCATGCATGCCATGGAAGTTCACGGGCTCTTTCCCGTCCACTCCCACCGGCCGGGGCTCCTCTGTGTCGCATCTTCCTCCAGCCAAGACAGTAGGGTTTAGGGTTTAGAGTCCCAAGTACCGTTATGCGTTTCTTGAAGGGATCTATAGGGGTTCCTGGATGGGTTTCTTTAAGGGCTTTTGAAGGGGTAGTATTATGGGGCATACCTGCCCATACCATAATGGTGATTCCTATTAGAAACCCTGCATTCTTCTATATAGGTACGTAGGACCCTTTGAGCATATAGTTCTTAGAAGAAGGTATGTGTGCGTGCTAAAGTATAACGGCATGGACCATAAGAAAACATTGCCTTACACGATTCGGAATCCTAAACTGCGGTAGGACGAAAGTTTGACCTACTCCTCGTTTCGACAATGGCAGGACCAACCAGCTACTCCTCCGGAACATTAGAGTATTATAATTTTAAAACGGTGTATATAATGCTCCGATTGCCAGGCCACATACGTCGCACTTCTTGATACTCCGCTACTCCCGCAAGACGTCTTAAGACAAGGACAGGTCCAAGTGGTCCAAACTGTTGTCCTCCCGCTGTAATGCTGAAATGAGGAGCCCCGCATACACTCACCAAACATCTCTGCAATGAGCCCTACCTCACATGCTAGGTTAGCCAGTGTCGCCTAAGAAAAGGCTACCTGTTTTCCTGGTAGTCAGTTTCAAGAGGGGAACCCCAAAAATGGAAAAAAGGTGCAAGAGGGCGCTACTGAGGAACCTAATGTAGGGGCCGAAATAATTAGAACAGGGTTTTGCGGCCTATTATACTATAAGTACAAAAAATGATCCCCAAAATAATACAGATAACTACTTACTTCCCCAATAAGCCAGGGAAAAAATGTTAAACTTTCGGATGACTACTAAATTATAAGAACCCAAAAAGTTTGAAGGTTGGATGTTGGGGAACTAAGACTATTGAGGCCCATATATTAGTATCCTGAGCCTGAAAAACATGATGAAGGGCTGAGCCTGATCCGACCCCGCGGCACGATCCATAGCTTTACCTGCCGGAGGGGTCAACGTTAAAGGGTAGGCTAGCCAAAACCCTAAACCCTACTCCCTAAACCCTACTCTCTAAGCCCTGATCCCTAAAACCTAATCCCTAGTCCCTAAACCCTAAACCCTAGCCTAGAGGGCCTGGGTTTAGGGGTTTGGGGCTACTCGGGCCCAGAAGCTTATGGGGTTGATGGTGGACCCGTTTGGCAAGCGGCCATTCCCTGCACGTGCGGCGCCTCCCGATTCTGAGCAGTATGCCCTTGGCCCTGTAGGGTCCAGGGGTTTCGGGTTTAGGGTTTTAGGGTTTAGAAGTGTAGGGTTTAGGGTTTAGGGGTTTAGGGTTTGGGATGACACCCCAAACCCTAAAATCGGCGGGTACGCCGCTCACCGCTCGGGGTTATGACCTCCGCTCCCCCAGCAATCCTGTTGCTGGAACACCAGAGGTTCAACCAGGGCCGGCGTGCCGGGCTCTGGCAGGCCACCGCATGTTGAACTCGCCTTCCCAGCTTGGCCCGCTTGGGCCGGCGCTTTGCCTCAGGTCCCTGCGGAATTGCCCCCCCCTCCCGCCGATTTGCACCGTTGCAGCCCGAGCCCTGCCCCTTCAGTGGACATCTGCTCGGAAGGCCTTCGGCTCCTCTGGATCTGAAGCCCTAAACCTTAAGGACGAAATGAACCCTAAAAGGGTTTAAGGTTCATATACCATATAGGGATTTATAGTACAAGGGTATAGGGCCCCTACTTTTAAGGGTCATTTGGTCCCTAAGGAGCGCTCAACCTCAAGCCCCTCAACCCAAAACTTCTGAACCACTACACCCCGACCCCAACCGCAAGACATAAATGCCTACATACACCCTGAATCTTCGAGCCCAAACCTAGTTGGCCTAGTGCCAAGACCTCAAGCCCGAAACACTCTGAATCTTAAGCTCGAACCATAAGCCATAGTATAGGAGGATTCATACGGACCCTGAAAAAAGGCAGGTTTTGGCAGGTTGAGGTAGACCTTATAGCCCCTGACCCAAGACGACCTGTAATCGAATGCCTGTAAAGCTTCTACAAAGTCATCCAAAAGGGTTCTCATCATCCTAAATCCATGTTCCAACGTCCTGAGGTTACCATCTACAAGCCGACCTTAATAATTTCGAAACCTGAAGGATCTTCTAGGAGCAGTAGTACACTTATGACTACCTTAAGTAGGTCCTGCGAGTGCTGTTGGGTTCCTTTCCTGAACCCTCAACCTTAAAATTCTGAAACCCTAAACTCTTCATACACAGCCCATACAAGTCCCAGTTTTTGGGTACTTGGACTTGACTTAATAAGGCCCCTACATTATTCTGGCCACTGCAGGCCTCCTGGCTCCAAGGTGGACCGCGGAACGTAAAAGCAGCAAAACTTGTGGGGTTTTGCAGCTACAAAACACCTGAGGTTTGAGGAGAGTGGAGTGAGCCTTGAAACCAATGAAGACAATCGCTGAAACCTGCCGAAGTGAGTGCCAAGAAAAGAACCGACCACCTAATTATGGGTGTGCTGCTTCTCCGTCGTCCAGCTTGCGTCGAACTAGTAGAGGTGTCCTGCTTTGAGTTGTAAGAGATCGGCGGGGCATTCATGGTTCGGTGTCTTGACATACGGGCCTGAATAATTAGAATAGGGTTTTGGGCTCATTTATTAGTATCATCATACTGAGGAACCCTACTAACGAGCATTATTGGTTTATATTTAGGCTTCTATACTACCCGTGCTCTAGGCTGTCCCATGGCATGGAGGTGGCGGGGGATCCTTGGAAACGGCAGCGGCGAGGCTGGCACACTTCTTCGCTGCATCAGCGGTTTAGGGTTTAAGGTCCAGTCTCCTCAGGGATTTAACGGTTGACCTTTGGGATTATATAGGGATATAAAATACCCAAAAGCGTGAAAGGCTACCTGCTCTACCACTGGGGAGAATCTTCGGCCTATATCAAGACCAGGACATTCCCTAATTCCCTAAACCCCAGACCCTCAACCCTAGACCCTAAAGCACATAACTCACCCAGGGGAAGCCCCACTCCGCCAACAAGAAGAAACACCTGAAGCCCCTAAGCTCCAGACATCGCAATTCCAAGCAAAAACTACGACCCAAAGACAGCTTTACTTAAAGACACTCAGAGAGAGAGAGAGAGAGCTACATACATATATATATATATATAATATGCAAACTATATGAACAAAAAACACGCACATGGCAAACATGTATATAGAAAACACGGAGACCAAGGCAAGTTAGAAACATGAGGCTGGAGCAGGGCTGTCGGGGTATGTTATGTTCTACTCTACGATTGGGTCCTTTGGACCTTGAGGTTATGCCCCCTGAAACCCAAGTTTACACCATTTTCGCCGGGCCAGTCTGCCTCGAGTGCGTGCTGTATCTCCTAATGCATGGCGAATGAGACAGCAGGCACATATTGAGGCAGCACCCTCCCGAGGCTGCATGCGGAGTGCGCACATGGTTTGGTGCTTCGGATTTGCCATGTGAGCTTGAGGCTGTAGGTTGGAAGTCGGCCGACTTGCCGTCACAAGAGTCGGTTGAAGACGCCGTTGTTGCGCCTTGCTCCTCCGCTGCTGCATGTTGCAGCCAAAGACGGACTTTGCTTGCAGAGGTTGCACAGGAGGCGTCCTTACAAGGACACAGAAAGACTATAGGTTGAACGGTTCAGACTGGGTTGGCCTTTAAACCCTCTGTAAAGTATTTATATAAAGGGTCCCTTATAAACCCAAATAGGGAAAATAAAAAATGTCCCAAAAACCAACCTAGCAGAGTTTAGGGGGTTTTAGAGCTTGGCGTGTATGGGCGGGCTATTGAAAGCATCTTGCCGAATCATGTGGGTCTTATCAGCTTGGAGCTGCCCAACGTGGATCATACACAGCGCACTTCAGGCCCTAGTGTTTTGTGGTGTATATTTAACTACATGATTAAAGTAAGGAGCCCCAAAATCGTATAGGTAATTATCAAAATTAAGGCCCTTAAAGTAACACACTCTAGACCCTAAGCCCGAAACCCCAAACCCTAAACCCTGAGCTCAGCCATCCCTTTTTCACACTCAGCCATGAGCTAAGCTTTCTCGTGTTGTCCACCTTCCATGGTTTCCGCTGCAGTTCGCGCACCGGCCCTCTTCACGACAGCCACCGCGCGATACTCTTACAAGGCTCTCCGCCGGCTTCCGGAAAGGACTGCTTTCGATAAAGATATGATGCAAGAGCCTTCAAGATTAACAATCGGGGAGGCGTGCAGTATGGCATGATGCATCATAGTAGTTTTGGCAAGGACTACAGTATCTCCAGACCCCTATCAACTAGAGCTTGAAGGATTGGAAACCAGGTCCTCTGATTCTGACACTAGTGAATAACGAATGGATAGTACTTGGCTTTCACAGCGGCCCTAACAGCAGCACTCTCAATCCTAAACAACCTTTTCAGCTGTTCGCATTGCTCACTTCTTCTTGCGGGCCAAGTTCGCCAACTCCTTTGCCGGTCGTCAACAGCAAGGTGGTGTCGGTTTACGATTTTGAGCTCGGGATGGGGTTTTGGCTTAGGGTTGAGAAGCTTTAACCACTGACGTAGGAGCCTTGATTATAAGAATAAGGCTTTGGGGTCTCTTATAAAGTAGCTATAATAAGGAACCCCCACAATCGTATAGGTAATTATCAAGGCCCTTATAGTAAGCTGAGGCTTTAGCTTTGAGATTTCGTTTTGAGGCTAGCAGTTGAGGCTCCCGACGAAGGAGAGTGAGGCTCGCAACCACCTTCCCTAGAACGCGAACTGTCCAGCCTGTAAACCTTAAACCAACAAGCTTGATATACGGGGTCCTCATGTCGTCATAGTTAACTGGAATGGAGCTTCAATACGAAATAACCATTTTTGGCCCCTCAAGCTGCGATGTTAGATTCAAGTTTTGAAGAAGATCCCGACAAAGAGTTGGCAAGGATTTGCTGTTCGGTGAGAGTTTGTCACTGTACTTTGCAAACTAGTACTCTTGATGCCGTTAAAGGGGGAATGGAATGGAGCAGCCTTGTCATACTATTCCTTGCATAGACTATGATAATGGCGACTGAGATTGTTTCTCGGTGCAGTTGAATCTGATCAGAGAGTTGGTGCTGTTCCCGGGGCCGATATGGAACCAGCAAGTCTACTGTAGGGGTCTTGATAGTTAGAATAGGGTTTTGCGGGTGCCTTATCTTAAGATATGGTATAATCCATCCCGAAGCCCTATTCTACTTGTTAAGGCCCATATATTATCCGTATCATCTCGGCGCAGTCATGAGCAGAAGCAATGCGACAGATGAGCGAGCGCGAGAACCGCGAATCCTGAAGCTCGGAACGTGGAAACAAACAAAACAGCAAAAGCAACAACAAGAAAGACGTGATGTTAGTTTTGTGCGTTGTAAAACCCTTGTTCCCAGCATCCAAGCACCAATGTTAGGGTTTAGGGTTTAGGGGTTACCGGCTTACGTTCAAGGTGCTACAGCACTATTGGTGCTGAGCCCCTCGCCTCCTGCTGGCGCGCCAGCTTCACACGCTCCTTCTGGATATTCGGGTCCTGGCTTGAGCTTAGCTTTAAAAAGCAAAAATATAGGGGCCTTAATAATTTGGAGACGGTTTTTGGGGGTATACAATATAAGAGGGGGCTGCCAAAATAGTCTTGGTAAATACGTAAGCCCCTGTACTAAGCCTTCAGGCTAAGGGGTCAGGCTGCAGATTGAATGCCGAAAATGTCCGGGTGGGGGTTCGATGCGATTTCAAATGTCGCTGGGGTTCTAGTGCGCCTTAGAAGGCTTGGTCGAAGGACTGAGAAGGTTTGGTATGTTCTTTGCTTTGGTTCTGCATAGGGCTGAGTTTTTTCGTTCTTCATAACAGCCTGTAGTACACTGAGAGCTATAGCATATTCCCTTCAATCAAGCACTCTCCCACCATCGACAAAAGGAAGCGCGTGTAGGCTCCCATCGCAAGATCTACAACAAAGAACAAATCACCTAGAGCCTAAGCCATTGCGCTTAAAGCCTGCATCCTGAACACCAACCCTGTGCTACTTACTACTGTAGATGTCATGGCTTGGTTTGTTTAAAACGACTTGACTCGCCTGTCAACGCTACATATCTGGGCGCTAATATTGAAGAGAACGGTTTTTATAAAGCGCTGAAGCTACATTGGAACTAGGTAGAACAAACAAGTATTGAGCCGCTACATTAGCACTAGGCTTTGGTTGCTTGATATGTTCCTGTGGCAGAGCCGTTCGTTTCGGGCTTGAGAGTTCGCAGGAAACCTGTCAAACAACCTAAGTATACACCCGAAAGACCTGGTTAGAAACAACTTAGATAAACTCTGAAAGCTGCCCAACTGCCCTAAACCCTAAACCCTAACCCCAAGGTGGCCTGCTTGATCTTCAGCTTCTTGAACTTCTGCAGCTTCTTCGAGTCTTGCGGAATGCAATAACTCAGCTTTCTCCTCGCATTTCAGGAGTTCAAGGTTTGGGGTATAATGTAGGGGCCTTAATAATTAGAATAGGGTTTCGGCCCCGAAACCATCCAACACAGAGGCTTTAGGGTTTAGGGTATATAGGGTTAGGGGTTTAGGGTTTTAGGGTTTCAGGGTTTAGGGTTTGAGGGTTTAAGGTTTAGGGTTTTAGGGTTTAGGGGGTTTAGGGATTAGGGGTTTAGGGGATTAAGGAAACTACAGGTGGGGAGCTTAGGGTATATAGGGGCTTCTATAAGGCTTCCATAAGGTATATAGACCTTCTATAAGGCTCCTATAACGGTAACTACCCACCTGAGAATGTCATAGATTTAGGGTGTTCAAACCCTAAACCCTAAACCCTAAACCTCCAGAACCCTAAGACCTCCAACCACAACGCCTTGATCCCGAAATCCTTAACACAAAGATCCCTATAAACCTTAACGACAGCTTTGCACCCGAATACCACACTACTATAGTACTAACTAGAGATCTTCAAGTGGTACGATCCTGAGCAAAGGAGCATACATTCAGAGGTACCCCCCTATAAAGCACCATTTAGAAGCTCGAAACCGCATTAGGGGAAAAGGCTGAGACACAAACAACCCATAAGATCGCCGCAGTCGTGCTACGTACACAAAACCCATTCAAACCCCCTGATAAAGCTTCATACAGTAAGTTAAAAGAGCCAGAACACGACAAAGCCATGTAACGTACATACCACATCAAACTCGGATAAAGCCTCAAGGAAAGCCGGGTGGGCCCTAACCAAAAGCTCTAAACCCTAAAACCCCCAAGCCCTAAACCAAAAACCCTAAAACCCTAAACCCCTCAAATCAACCCTGAACCCTAAAACACTAAAGCCCCCAAAGCCCTAAACCCTGAAACCCTAAAACCCCTAAATCCCTCAACCCTGAACCCAAAAACCCTAAAACCCCTAAATCCCTCAACCCTGAACCCTAAAACCCTAAAACCCCTAAGCCCCTCCACCCTCAACCCTCAAACCCCCAAAACCCTGAAACCCCTAAACCCCTCCACCCTGAACCCTGAACCATAATACCCTAAAACCCCTAAACCTTGAACCCTAAAACCCTAAACCCCTAAAACCCCAAAACCCTAAGACCCCTGAACCCCAAAGCCGCTGAGTCCGGGGCAGCATAGAAGCCCCGTTCTTCTCCGAATCCAGGCCCTTGTCCTGACAAAGAGATCCTTTAAAGGGCTAGTAGGGGTTTAGGGTTTAGGGT